ATACAATATTGTTACAATGTACAGTGGTATTAAGTGGCGTATTGTGCACCACTGCCTACCCCTTCGGGGATAAAATTGGTGGAATCTTAAAGATTAAAAGCCACATTATAAATATTGTACCTCTATCTACTAATATCTTCCAAAACAACGGCTTCTTTTTAAACAATTTAACAACTTGTGTTACTTATGGTAATTTAATGTCCCATTTCGTTGAAGGCTTTGATAAATAAACGTGCTTACCCCTTAATAGAAACCATTTAAAACTATTTTAAGAAGGCATGCCTTCTAAAACAATATTATTAATGCAAATGTTTGTTTTTGTCACAACTTTAAGTACTTGTAAACTGCTGACCTTTTTATTATGAGTTTTAGTACAGAAATAGATTAAATTGCCGAAACGATTTCTTGAAATAAATCCTGACTGGTAAAAATTATTTCGGAAATAGTTCTTCTTATTTGGACTTAAGCAAAACCAGGGGTATATATTAGTATTAATGGTTTTATATGAGCTCAAGTTACTCAATAGGCTTATAATCATTAATTAAATGTCAATTTTATTATAAATAAATAGCTACTGAATCAAAATTTTATCTATATAGATATTTATATTAAATAGTACCTACCTAGGTATAAATATTTCTGAATTATTGACTGATGTAACTTTTTTTAAATAGCGATCTGAATTCTAAACCACATAAGTCATATTTTAAGGTCGTCTATTTCGTAACGGATATTTTTTCTGGTGCTGGTATCGAGCCCAAAATATCGCGCTTTGGAACTAGTCAACCAACTGAACCAACTAGACAATCAACTACATTATTTTTTGCGACACAAATTGGAATGTAGGTACTTATTTACGCAAAAAGACACAACCAACGGGTTTCGCTGCCTCCAATGTAATTCAATATCAAAAGTATGTACCACATGGGCTGTAACCCACGCGTGTTTTACAAAACAACGTGATGAAAAACACGTGCCTTAAAGTTGTCTCAACTTTAAACAGGAATAGACATTGTAATAAATGCATTACCATTGACACTTTAGAATTTACTACTTTTACACACGAAGTATAACTAAGTAAATATCTATGTAAGTATAAATCTTCGATGAGTCCGATTCCCGCACGGAACAACTCTTTGTGTGATCCACAGATTGTTGTTCCGGGTCTGGGTGTCATGAGTACCTATGTGACCTTTGTCTGTTTGAAAACGCACGTACGACACAGGAAAAATTCGTAGTGTGGGGCAACGTTTCTTTAAGAAGAAGAAAAAAGCTTGTAGGTGATTTTCTTGACCCTGCAATGAACAGGAAAGGCACAAGGGTTGGAACAGTCTCTTGATCTTTTGAATGCACCGATATGAGACACAATAGAATATACATTATGTCTCGCGTGGATCCACGTCTTAGACACACGATAGGTTAAGAGCCAAAAAAAACCATTTAATGAGCTACTAAGCTATTCTCGCCCGTCACTGGTCGAGATTATTCTCACAACCATGGCGGACCGCGGTTGAGCTCACTTCGAGATTTCAAATTGACATCTTACAATAATCTGGCAGACGAATCATGAGAAGTTGGTTTAACTTTACACTATCTTTCACGTAATGTCTTACTTTTTATTTATTTTTTTATATTATATTGCACACACACAGAAAAGTAAGTATAGGTACATTGTAATAGTAATTAGAGTACAACCTTTGGATGGAATTTTTGAAAATAATTTGGGAATATCGTGGTAGGTGCACAATAATGTAAAAGGAAAAAAATAAAACAATTTTATTTAATATTTAATTAGTATAGACGATACGTAACTAAAACAGCTTAGAATACTTGTAAAATAGCTCTAAAGTATCCGTATAAGGGTGTCAATAAGAGTCATTACCGTTAAAATTATAAATTAATTGTCCTTATTATAATTTTAGGCATAATGTTTACTACATTGTAATTCCCTATCGTTCATATTTATCAAGGGTCTGCAGGTCAATGTTCTAGAAGTGCAATATAATTATTAAACGCTTAATTTATTGCCAAATGTACAAAATAGTTAACCTGATGTTTGACATAATGTTGGTAGATAGATCCTTAGAAGATGAGACGACGATAACAAATTGTGTTGCGAATGAACTTATCAATATATAACCATCATGCCATGTTCAGCAGTGAAGTGCTATAACTGATTTACTAGAAAATAATTTCTAGTATTTTTTATGGGCGTAAATCTTACGAACAGGCGAACTTACCTTACGAAGTAGAAGATAATGATTATTAAGGTTCAAATTATATATTTTTATTGGCTACCTACACTAAAATCATTAATATTTCTTAGAAAAGAAATACCACATACTCTTTAACTTAATTACTTAAGTAATTTAATGGTAGGAAAAAAATCAAATCAATGAATAGATAGAAGTTAAATAAAACGCATTTTACTGATAAAAACGAAATTACATACTTTTTTAAATGATTTTGACGTTTTAAACAGTGATGATGTTTATAATCAAAATACGATTTGATCATCGTTTCGTTGGAAATCGATCAAGTTCGTGTTTGTTGATGATAAGTTCAATTACTAAAAGAAGCGTCCAAATGAGCATTTTATTTCATCATAGCACGTTATTAGTTGAGTTCTCATTATTAGATAAAATTTACGAAGTTGTAGAGGCTATTGTAGATACAAACTTAAAAGTCGTAGGTATATTAACCTATTATTTCGATGACATCTTGTCTTTTAAGATAGGTAACATTCTACTTATAAACTTTACGTACTTCGATATACTAAATAGCTGATATGTTTTCCCCTTTTTCTCGACGCACTCTCTGACTGGCAATTATTCTGTCTCATAAGGTTTTGGCTGCCAACAAAAACTGTTGGAGGCAATTCCTCCGCTGACATTAGTCATCGGTGACCCTCATGGCGTTTAATGTGTTAAATAATAAATAAGGTAGTTTTTTGATAACCATCGGACCACCAATGGGTCTGATGCCGATACAGAGCCGCGCTCCGGTTCGACGTGCAGGAGAAGGAACAGAGTGGTTTTTAGTCATAAGAGTCTGATACTCCCTCCCGCCTCACCCGGGCGGGCAAAGGTAGTTTTTGATGAGCCTGTTACTCCAGCCCTTTTTAAAAACTGTTACATAATACACAGTTTTATTTCACAAGTAGTTAATGAATCCATCATTGTCCTTATCTGTGAAATGCAACTCGTTAAGTTCTGTAATTGCCATTTAATTAGTTAATTACCCTTCCTAAGTTGTGTAAGTTGTGCAATAGCACGGAAATTGTCTTTAAATTGAAAGAGATCTGTCAAAATTCTTACGTAGATCGTCATTACCAGCATTTTTGCAGAACTTGTGTACCTTAATAAATTACGGTTAGTCCGCACTCGATTTCCTAAAAAAAGATTTGTTCATTGGCGTCCTCGTCACCTCTAAACATAGGTAGTCCATAATCGATTCCTAAAGGTTGAGAGTGGATTTCCATACCAAAGACCAGTAGACAAACAAAAGAGAGTGGACCAAACGATAAAAAACACCACCACGTCCTATACTTTTATATACCTATAGGTATAAAAAATAATAAAATCCTTCAACAATTTGCTAACCTTATGCTTATGTGGTTCGTGATAAAATAAAAAAAATAACCGTCTGCATCACTTTCCATTCAAAAAATATGATTTTTGAAATGAATTTACAACTATAGGGTCCATTTCAAAGTTTATGGCATGTCCATAACATACCAGAGATAAAGCATAACGTTCCCATTTAGAACCATTTTTTATTTTTTAAATTAGGTAACCAGTTTTGTCACGTTTAAAGCTAGCCGTTAGAAAGACATTGAAACTCGTTTATTTTACTTCATTGAATAACGTGAGAAGAAAAAGAATCCGGCATGGATGTAATATGCAGTTATTGAGTGAATATACTTGGAAACGAAATCGGCGTTCCATCAGACTATATTAGTTTCAACTTTCTTTTACTATTGAAATTTTCTGAAAATACCCGGGAACTGAACCTTAACCCCTAAACCATTCAGGCTTGCTTACCATAGTTAACGAGACAAACTTTTACCATAAAAGTTTTAGATACTGACTACATCGTTGACCGTGTGGTCACAAGCGCGACCGCCGGGCGAGGGGTCTCGGGTTCGATCCCCGGGTCGGGCAAAGTATTACTGGGTTTAAAAAAAATCTCAGTAGTAGCATGGAGTCTGGAAATGTGCCCGGTATATGGCAATAGGCTCACCCCCTATTACATGGGACTCATAACATAAATAGTGAAAACTTGGTGTTACTACTGTGTGCACCTCTGCCTACCCCTTCGGGGATAAAAGGCGTGATGTTATGTAATATTTTTAGATATGCAGACATCGATGGCTGTTATTAGTGCTCAATAAAGTCTTTTTTAAAAATAGACAAGATATGAAAAAATATTTTATTCATTCAGCAGTTTCAAGTTTCAACAAAAACCAACACACATATCATTCTCGTATAGACGTGTATCACATCAACGAATGCATAAAACATAAATATTTTATATAAATAATAATAAAGGTCGCATGAAAATGTCACAATAAATAAAATAAATAAATTAGTACATAACATTATTAGTACCTACAGTGCTAAATTAGCAAAAGCTTTTAAAGATATCTATGATAATATGTCAAATAATAATTTTATCTTTAGTCATCATATTAACCAATGTGAAATAAATGACGATTATTTAATATACTTTGAATGCGTCATGGAAATGTGGTATAGACTTATTGCATGATGAAAAAGACTCATTAACACTCATTAAATATATTAGTAATTACAATGATACGGAAGAAAAAACGAAATCAGTGCAGTTCGACCTGAGTATTGACGCGCGATGGAAGCCTGCACAGCTATCCCTTTGACAAAAATTAAATAAATAATAATAAAATAAAGGATCAGTGCAACAGCAATATTTTAAGTCGTAAATAAGAAAGTGTTTACTAGATTTTATTCTAATTTACTAAGGTTTTAATATTTATAGTAACGCAACATGAAACATTATCTAGGTAATGTTATCATAAAGGAGTAATAAATCTTTAACAAATATTACGCTCGAGCAGTGTCAATAATTCCCTACACTGCGATTGTTGTGTTTTCATCATTGTATCGGAAGAAAAGTGTGTCTACTTTTTAATAAAAAAAAATGACTACAATCGAAGAAAAAAAGTCAATCAGCCGATCACGAGTTATATTGTCCCAGGTAAGATTTTTTTATTTTATTTTTTATAAATAGGTATTATGTCAAAATAACTTTTTAAAATCTGGTATTTCAAATGTTAAAAATATAAATAATAATAATGTATATTTATGAAAGCATTTAGCAGTAAAAAAAGTTTTCATACAAAGTCTGACTGATAATACTGGCCGGCTACAGCAATTCGAATGTCACAAGATAAAAAATATTAGGAATCGAATAGGTAGTCTTTTGTTTTCAATATATTTTTAACAAATAGAAAAACATGAATGAATGAATTTTGGATATAGCACAATGAATTATTTATAGTTATTCACAAAATGTCAGAACAGTGACAATCAGTTCAACATTTCATTCAATGAACAAAATTGGCGGGCATCCTGCGTCTCTCGCGGCTCGCCACGCATTGAGGTAACAATATTCAATTTATATGGCAATTTTATGATTGCTTTTCATATAACAGGCGTAGCATGTAACCATTATATTTTTATTAGCTTGCAAGAGATTCAGACATCAATTTGAGGTCACTGACATTTAAGCGACTTTGTACCTATAACAAGTGATTTTTAGCATTTATAAATCACGATTCGTTACGCCTACTTTTGTTACATAAAATATTTATTGAGGACGAGGTTTTTCTAGACAAGTGTCATTTCCTTAAATTAAATTTACAGTTAACCATTTCTATCCCGTTCTCTAGCCGCATACATCGTTGGTCTAATGATCGTATACAATCTATATTTTGCAATATGTAAATATTAAACGTCCATAATATGAGGTATTCCACGAAGCGCACCTAAACGAAGCGCACCTAAACGAAGCGCACCTAAAGTATTCCACTTAGCGCACCTAAAAGAAGCGCACCTAAACGAAGCGCACCTAAAACACAATATTTGATATTTGCCCATGTTTTTATTGTAATTATAAAACAATCTGTGATTTTTTATGTTAAAGTAGAGTATTTTTATTATTCACTAAACACGTAGCTATAAGAAAACTTCAACATAGATCTTTATGTAAAACCATATTTACAATATTTTTGATATTTGTCCAAGTTTTATTGTAATTATGAAACAATCTGTGATTTTAAGTAGTAAGATTACATACAAAATCAAAATGACAAATATTGTGTCACATTATTATAATGAAACTGAATGATGTTAGAAATCTAAGTTAGTCTTTTAAATAATTAATATTTTCTTATATCGATATTTTTATTTCTTAGTCTCCGCACTATGCGAGTGATACTCGTAGGTGCGCTTCGTGGAATAGGAAATGATTTATTTTAAATATTATATTTTAAGCGCACCTACAGATGCGCTAAGTGGAATACTTTAGGTGCGCTTCGTCTGGGTGCGCTTCGTGGAATACCTCCAAAATTCTAGATATGGATTTAAAGCAAGATATATTTATATGTAATATCGAGTTACATAAAGATATCAAATTACATATACTATTATTTCTTTCTACTGGGGGTTCCATTCATGTCGCAATATCGTCAACTTGTAATCTGTCATCCAATCAATTTAATAGATGACAAATTGACGTAATGTCAATACATTGAGTGTTTTTTTTTATAAATAACGCCAACAAAGAAATACTCTTATTTTTATCTAGGTGCATCGTATTCTAACAGTTGATAGGTACCTATTGTATTATACTATTGTGTATACGATAACTTACCTTATTGTAAGTACAAAATTAATCAATGCAATGCTGCATCTATGTACGTACGAGCGCCTCTGATCTATGTATAAAAATATTTTCATAAAAATTTTTACACGAATGGGCCGGTTCAACTGGAGTGATACCTCTGCCTCACCGAAAACCGACGTAAAGCAACGCTTGCGTTGTGTTTCGGCCTGTGAGTGAGGTTACCGGAGGCCCAATTACCCCCTTTCTCCAATCTGAATCCCCTTGATTTTCCGACGACCCTCTCAAACTCTTAATCCCCAAAAGGCACTTGTAACACCTCTGGTGTTCCATGTGTCCATGGGCGACGCCAATTGCTTACCATCAGGTTATCCGTCTGCTCGATGACCGGCTTATGCCACAAAAAATATTGATAAAATTAATATAAACAAAAAAAGTGCATAATGTTGACAAAAAAGTTTTTACTATAAATTCTCTCTCTACATAAATCTTTTATTAATACTTAATAATATTTATTGACGCATAACACTCAATCAAAATTTGCAAAGGTTTGTCAGTTCATAGTCAGTACGTTCCGAAACATTTATACCCCATCCGTAATGGTTTTATATGTATAGAGGCCTTAATAAAATAATGATGCACAAATATCTAACATTTGCGGAACCTAAGTGGCTTATACCCTTATTCAAACAAGGAAGAATTTGTCAATGTTTTTGCTTCAAAAGGAACAATACTTTGCAACTATTAACTCATTCTTAAGCCTTCTTTAGAAGCACTGAACATAAGAAATACATACCTATAATAATTGATATAATAAGAAATGTAATACGAACTATATGTAGCTACATTTTGTTTGTTTGTGTTTCTAAATAGAGTATAATTAATGTAATACGAACGCCTTTCCAGTACATTAAACTATCAAATTACCAAAATTTTAAATTATCAGTCATTAACCGCAAGTATGTACCTGTATCTATGTATTTCTTATGTTCAATTTCCATGCAATTAGGGACCATAAAACCATTATCGTAACAAATTGGTGTCAATTCAATAATATAATCGGTCATGTGGTAATAGAAAATAAATAACCGGTTCGTAGAGTATTTTTTTTTATTTCTTACTTTTTATTTAGCTGTATAGCGATGGTGGAGTGAAATGCGCTTGTCACTAGCCCTAGTCGTTTAATCTGAATTTAGTACATGTGAGAACCGAAAGATTTAGTACTTTTAACAATATTCTGCCGAAATCATCACCATCGTCATCAACAGCCTGTAAATACCCACTGCTAAGCAAAAACTTCGCGAAGGCTTGAGCATTAATCACCACGCTTGCTAATGCGGGTTGGCATCTCTGTCGAAATACCAATGTCCAAATATTTAAGAATCTTACAGCAATAACAAAAGCTTCACTTTGAGATCATCTGATCTTTTTATTATACTTTATTTTTAGATTTCCAGAAGGTCTAAATGAAATAAGTAGTAGGTAAATATGACAAAAAAATAATATAAAGACTTCCAAAGCAATAAGATTCTTTGTATATCTATATTCTATTTATATCAATATAATATTTGGCCGTCGGAGTAACTATGCTAATAAGAATAAGTGCTCCGACATTTATTATTATTATTATATATCTCATTTACTAGCAAAATACATTTATTGAGGTATACAGTTATAGCTATAATTATTTTTTAAGAATTTATTCCTTTTTTATAAAAAGATCGTTAAAATGATGTCAACGAAATAGATTTAAATGTGACATTAAATTCAATGTATTTTATTTAGATTTTTATATGATATCAATAATGCATTAAGCAAAAATACAATATTTTACATAATTTTATATTACACATGTATGTATATAAAAATCTGTTTTATGTATCTATATACCATTATATATATTTTAAGTCTTATTACCTGTATAAGTATTGGAAATGTAGCATGAGGCCGATTTCTATGCAAATGTAATATCTACTTTTTACATGACATGATATACTTAAATGGAGAATCTTAAATAATTTGCTCAACATAAATACGATTTCTCTCGGAATAAAGTAAATTTAAAACTTATGAGTCTAATGAAATCAACTTCCAAAAATTCCGACTCCTCTTTGGAGTGTTGTTTGTATCAGTAAGTTAAAACATATAACGTTTTATTACACGTACGCAATTAAACGTCATAAAACGATAAACATTACGAAAATATTTCTTTAAGTTAACAAAAAACAAATGAATATTCATTCCGTAAACTCAATATACAATCTATAAAACCATGGTTTTAAAACTATATAGTCATAAAAATTTTGGCAAGGTACATTCATAAATTTATATTAAATTCTATAATTTTTTTTATTATATTCATCGAAACTTAAAATGTTATGTAAAACAATACCGAATTACAATAGTAAATTCTAATGTCGCGTAAAACTCTTCAGTACTAAAACTAAGTTAATTGTACATTACAATACTTCTACCTATGAATTTTTACCTTTTCATAGAGAGCGAGTTTAAATTTGAATAAAAAAATCCGTTTCTTCCGAAGATTTTATTCTTTTAGAGGTGGAATGATTTTTAGTATAGTAGTAGTAGTTATAGTAATAAACTATTATTAAAGAAAATTAATTGGATACAAAATCGAAAGAGCTTGTTTTATGTACGCAGTATTATGTAATCACACGTCAAATAAATAGAATAAACAAATATACAAAATGTAGGTAACAATATTCCACTAGTAGTAGTACCTTAGTTAAGATTTAAATTAAATGAATGAATAAATATGAAAATGTATACCTAATACTCTCTCTAGGATCGATTCTTCATATATTAATTTCATATCCACAGAATTCTGAGAATAACTTACTTTAACTATTCTTTTACGATCTAAACAGGCAGACATTGGTAGCAAATTACCTAATGTTTAGGACATAAATGAAATGTAAAAACCGGTGTTTTAAATTTTATTTATGCTGTAGTCCTTAGCACACCTCACATTGAAATACTTAGTCTTTTTTAAATCGTAAGTATTTTTAATAATCAAAACCGTGAAATACCGGAATCGTGCAGAATATGAAAAAAATACATACCTACAATTTATTTTGTATTTATCAGTCGTTTATATTCATTTATTGTAAAATAAAAACACAAATCACGCGAGGAATAGTTAGGAATCATACATTTTTAGCATTCGTATTACAAAATCATTAATTTATTATGTAATATAATAATAATATGTGGATTTTTATATCACCTTAATGTTTTATTCTAGTATTTTATGTACCTAACATTGAAATGAAATAAGCTCATTTAAACTTTGTTTTCCACGTGCATGCAATGCCATAGGGGTCGGTAGAAACCATAGAATAGAGTGATTACACGATCCCTACATCCACTTATTTGGTTTCCTTCCACTTTAAAAAAGGTCTTTATTCCCTAATTAAAGGCTTCTAAAATAGACTTGTAATGTAAAACGCACCTATTAAGAATTAACGTATGGTTTCTTTTTCCTTCGCAGGTACTAGCATGTCTCGCACTCGACTTCTTATTGATTGGGCTGGGCCTGTCCATCAGTTTCGTTACAATGGTGTTACCTGAGGTACTTGACGCTAAAGAAGGACTTTCAATCACTAAAAAACAGGCATCATGGTTCGGTAAGTGCATTTTTCCTTTTATCTTTATTATTATCTTATCTTAAGTCGTATTTTAACTATCGACCCAAACCCCTGAAAGCCCCTATCAAGTTTTAGTATTTACTCATTAGGACCAAATTAAAAGTATCCTCATCCGACGAGCATGCATGAAAAGACTGACGACTGTTGATGAAGCGAAAGAGGTATTAACTAAAAATCGCGGGTTACTCACGTGAATATACTGAGAAAAACTCTGTGGTCCGAAACTAGTAGAGCTTTTCTCCGTATATTACGAGTACCTAACTCGCGATTTTTAGTTAATTTAGTATGTTTCACGATAGTTATTATAAAAACGAAAGAGGTATGTTAGAATGGGAGACAGGGGTGAGGTTATGTATGTACTTGCCTAATGAAGCTTACTACGACCATATCAAAGATCCATTCAAAAATAGGTACTTCTGTATCAAAATTTATGAAAATCTCAGATCTGTTTTGACGATCAATTTATACTGGTAAAAAACAATAATTTTGGATAGATATTAATAGGAATCCTCACTATTTTCTCTATTTTTTGGTTTGAACAACATGGTTGTTATTTACTTCTTTCCATTTGAAAATAACTTTAACCTTAAACTTTTCCTGAACTGCATCACATTTTGAATTAAAATGAAAACTAGCTTTATTAACATAATGGCTTTTTGCATCCTGGTCATTTATTTAAAAGTTATTTGTGCATTTTAATCTGTATTTTTTACTAATTAAAGACATCGAGATAACGTTAATTTAAATCTAATTTAGTGTATACAAAATTTTGTTACAATTTTGGATATGAGGAAATTGGTCTCGAACTTTGGAAAATTTTCGTATACTTCCTCTTCAAGTTTATCAGAAACCTTACAAACTCCTTTCTAAATAAATGATCCAACGAGTTCAACAACAATTTTAATTAATGTTTTCTCCACAAAACTGCTCACCTACAGTTTGAGAGAAAACTTTCAAGAAATAACTTCAGAAACTCAACTAAGTTATTTGTTATTGTTTTTCCTTTATAACAAAAGTCTTTATCTCTGTATAATTATTTTTAATATACACGGTGCAAACCGAACGCTGTCGAAACGTTAAAAAGATATTGTTTCTATAATTTTAATATTTTTCGTTTTCATACCTTGAGTAGTTGATTACAACTCTTATTAGATAAAATAAAACATTTGATTGCTTATTTTTATGACAATAAATTTGTTTTTTACCATCATCTATCAGCATTCTCGGGAGCTTTCCGTTTACACCCTATATAACAAAAATGCAAATGTTAGTTAACGTGTTAAAATAAATTAAAGAAGTGCTTGTCTACGTTTTACGTGTTAAAAACAGCTTAGTAAGTTACCAGTACCACAATTTTTAGCGGAAGAAAAGACACATATGTATAGGCCGATTTTAAATAATTTCGCAACATTATTTAATGCTTGGTTAGCTGTAATAGAAGGCCGGTTACTTGAGGTCAGTTACCAGTAATGTAGAAAAAAGTGTACTTGCAAAAAACACCACATAATTAATGATATGTAAATTATAACTAGCTTAGTTCAATGGGGTACCCATTTTCTTGTTTTTATTCAGAAGGCCATATGTTTGGGCCCTGTATACCTTGATAAATCTGTCAACGCGAATTAATTGGTAAGGAAAAAATCTTTGAAGTGAATATTAATTAGTTGGGTGAAAACTGGCTTTTATTTTTAGAAGTTACAGTTATATGTATGTATATGTAACTGCGACATTCCGTAGGTATATATAATTATAAGTAAATTATTGAACTTTAAGACAGTCGACTGAGTTAGACCAGCAAATTACACCTTAATGATATTCTAAAGTGTGTAGTGTAGTTAAGTAGGTAGGTACCTACACAATTTGGGTATTTTGTTTTGATGAATTATTTTTCCTCACTTTCTTATGAAAATTGGAATCCGACCCAATTGAATTGGAATAATCCAATCCAATGGGTCGGGAATATAATATGCTTAAGAACTAACACCTGTATATTTTGATATAATATATATCACCTTAAATTATTATTATGTTTTATACGTACGTATGTTTTTTTTTTACTAAATATTGGTACCACACCTTTTGCATAATGATTAAACTTTAATATAGAAGGTAGGTATCGCAAATTGAATATTTTGCATGTTATACAAAATGATTATTATATGTCGTAAATTTTACTTCAATAGCTGCTTACATTTCACAATTTTTATACTAACTCATAAAAATATGGTCCAATTTAAAATTAATATCTATTTTATTGAGTTATAATTTTTTCTAGAAGAAACATTTATTTGGTATATTAATTTTATTACAAATTTTTGGACAAATTACATAGGTATTATTAAGTAGGTATCTATGTATATATCGCATACATATTATATATACATATGTTTCAAGTCGCAAACAAAGACCACATTTAGATAAAGAATAATGAGTGTACAAAATTTTATTAAAATCAAGAATTCGTTTCCGTATGTCTAAAGTCAAAGTCAAAGTTAAAATCATTTATTTCAATTAGACCAGGAAGGCAGTTTTGAACGTCAAAAACAAAAATTTAGAAGTGAAGCTAGTTGCTCATTCTAACGTGTAAATTCCTATAGAGAAGAACGAGCAAGAAACTCCATAGGTTACTCTTTTTCATCTGGTATGTCTGTGGTCTGATATATCTGTATGATACGTATTACCTTTACCGTAAAGTTTTATAAGAATTTTCCTATATATAAATACGATATTTGTATATACGAATATATAATTATAATATAATTTACCTTGTAAAAATATTTTGATAATAATATGTAATGATATTTTGAATTTTTTGAAGGCATTTGAATTTTGTCTTATAATCGTTATATAGTATTACCTGCGACACATAATTTTCCCATTTTCATAAAGTCTAATCAGAAGCGTAACAATTATTATTGTTTGAAATATTTCTTATATAAACATTTAACATTTAACAATGAACAATTATTCTAGATAGATCTTTTTCCTAAATAAACAGAGTCTAACATAATATTTATTCTAGATTATTGTTGGCAGCCTAGATCATTCTATGCGTTAAATTATGTATGTCATTATAATTATGTGGTAAACGTGCATTGAAATGTTTAAAAAATGAAGACATATCGCGATGATATAAATAATGCACTTTTTATATTCCCATTAGTTATTCAAATGCTGCAAATTGCAATAGAAGTCGCGATAAGCTACAAAAAATCTATCGAAGTTTCTAGATTATGTGTGAACCAAATGTGAATACTGATGTTTGGATATTATTAAATAAAACAGTAATTTTAAAATCATTGGTCAGATTTGCATTTCTTTTTTTGCCGTGAACTCTCAATGAGACAAATTCTTAACAATTTTTATTTAGGAGTGATTACATCAATTAAAGGTACATACTACTCTCTTCATTGATACAATATACATCACCTAAATGGTGCATAATTATGAAGTCTAGTTCACTTCTCATACATTCTTCATTCTCATACACATTTCCTGCTATAGGTACCTATTCATAGATTGAAAACTAGACTTCAGTTACCTAAATTAAAAAGCTGTTAATAAAACGAACGCTTTCCTTTTCTACAGGCAGTATGGCGTTTCTGTGTCAGCCACTTGGCAGCATATTCTCAGGACCACTTCTCGACCACTTCGGTCGCAAGAAGGCGCTGTTCCTGGTGAACATACCTCACGTGGTTGCCTGGCTACTTATGTACTACGCGTGGGATGTACCATCACTCTTCATTGGAAATGCCTTGCTCGGTATAGGAACTGGGATCATGGAAGCCCCATCCGTAACTTATGTTGGTGAGATAAGGTGAGAAATTCAATAATTAACTTCGATAAAGTTGGGATATTGTTATCGTTCAAAGTGTCAGACAATTGATTGACATTCCCCTCTTAAGATAAGGGACTAGGAAAGTAAATCAAAATAACACAGATTTATGATCGAAATTTAAATGGATGTCAATAAAATATTACTTTCTTCTTCACCTGCTACGACCAAATTTAATTTTGGAAGGTTAGTTAGTTGTATTAAACTTAACTGTGTAAAATCTACATCGATTTTGGGGTATAATTAGTTATGTATCTAATGAAAAACATTAATTTGTACAGTGTTAATAATTTTGATACATCAACGAAAAAGTTTTCTTTAAAATAATTGTGTCTGACTTTAAAATAAACTGATCAGATGAATAGATAAAAGAAAATACTATTTTCTACAACATTTTTCTAAAATTAATAACCAAAAATACCTACATTAATATCTGTTCATCAAAGAAAATCGTTTAATTAGAACAGTTTTAAATACAAAAATATGTAAATTTTTAATTTATAGTCGTAGATAACCGAACATCTGCTACATATTCTTTTGTAACTTTCCGAAATAATGGTCAATTTATTGAATTATCTAATATTTCCAGACGTCATTAGTAAAGAGCAAGGCTCCAAGAAATTGATAAAATCAATTGCATTAAGAATAATATAGTGGATCAGGTAAAGATAGCTACATATTCGGTTACATCTATTATTAAGTACAAATATAGATAATCTTCTATAACATCAACATATCTTCGAAAGATAAGCAAATTTATTCTGCATGAAAATTGCATTTCGATAGATACATTCATAAATAAATTAATTGACCATATTAAATATTTAATGCTAGCTCGATATATTTCACTTGGTCATGGTTTAATTTTTTATACCTAGTATCTACCTACCTAATATGAATGTATAAATGACGCATATTAACTCAGTTAACTACCTACTCCAAAAATGCTACAAGCAATCAAAACAGCAAATCAAGTCTAGATGAATCAATAAAAATGTCACATTTATAAATCTTCTTTAATCTTTAAAACAAAAAATATTATCGCACGTCGCCATTACTTATTTTAAAAGCTGTATTCATAATATATTACCAGACGGTATGGAGCCAAAATCCTGATATACTGTGCCTATTTTTGCGTAAAATAGCGTAACAGACATAAAAAAATATCATGCCTTAAAAAATTTTTACCAAAAAGGCACCATTTCTTGCCTCAGTATACGCGCTTAGCCTTTTTATACGACAAATGATACTGACGTAAGCAGTAATGCCGTATTACGAGATATTATGAAAGTTTGAGATGGCTCAGTTTATTGCACCTGTAACATAATGTAGGTATTATTCTGTATATTCTTTAAAAGTAATGCAAGAGAATCATTTCCAGGGTAAATAATAGATTCTCACCTAACGTGGGTACTAAACTAAACGTAATAAAAAAATAAAACCTGGAACGTGTTCAACAATCAATCGTTATTTGAATACTTTTAGAAATTGGCTATCACTACATCAATACATAGTATAAAACAAAGTCGCTTTCGCTGTATGTCCGTATGTATGCTTAGATCTTTAAAACTACGCAACGGATTTTGATGCGGTTTTTTTTAATAGATAGAGTGATTGTTAAGGAAGGTTTGTATGTATAATACATGCAAATTGCACCCGTGCGAAGCCGGGGCGGGTCGCTAGTAGTATATAAAACAAAGTCGCTGTTCGCCGTCTGTCTGTCGCTATGTATGCTTAGATCTTTAAAACTACGCAACTGATTTTGATGCGGTTTTTTTAATAGATAGAGTGATTCTTAAGGAATGTTTATATGTATAATACAATCGTATTGCACCAGTGCGAAGCCGGGGCGGGTCGCTAGTCTTATATATTTTACAGCTGGACATGTGAAAATATAGGTATTAATTATTATTATTAAACTGTCAAACACCAAACCGGTGACCGCAACCTATTGTTCTATAATTGTGTCTACAAAACCGGTACTCGACGAGTTAATCTATAATCGTTTATGTAATTCCAGTGATCCATCAGTGCGAGGTATCCTGACAACCCTGACGAATGGGTTCACTTCGACGGGTATGTTCGTTGCGTACCTGCTGGGGACAGTGCTACCGTGGAGACAGGCTGCGCTGGTAGCACTCACTGTACCACTGACTACCATGGTGCTCGTTCTCTTTGTAAGTACAATTTCCAGTATTTTGTTTAATAATAATACACAATATTTGCTACCACATATATCGGTAACATTATTTACATTTCTAGTACAATGGGATTGTACAGTCGAGCAAACTTTCTTCAAGGGTTCAATTTTAATACAAAATTCATACATACCCAAAATTTTGAAAAATTCGGAAGATAAAATAAGATTCTTTAACTAAGGTGTGCTTACTACATAGGTCAAAACAAAGTTACTGTGATTAAACAACGCTGTTGAAAAAGATACCACACACACCGTAACGTCCCGTATATTATTATAATTATGTGTATATTATTCGGTAGGTATAATCTTTAACTCTATATTACAATATTAAGTATGTTATAAAACTTGTTGTTTATTAATTTTTATTAGAGGCTCTAGTTACCGCCTCCAAATTAGAGGTAGATAAATACCTATGTACTTAGATGGTGGAATAAATTATACCTTCACCACGCCAAGAAGAGTTATGTACAATACGATGATGATAAAACATTTTACGACAGCATTTGACTCCTGTTCTGTCATAAATATTATTATAACCTAAAAATTGTAGGTAAGTACTTGTTAATGACTTCAGGGAAAAGCCTTAATTGCTCGTTTGGTGCAATCATAACGTTATTACATAGTTATGTATCTAATTTCAACTGAGTCGATGTTTCTCTCGAAGTAAATACGTAGTGTTTTTAAACTTGTTTATTTAAAAAAGTGCAATTTCGTCATTGTTGCATCAAATCAGCAAGATGTGTGTCTACTATTTCTACGAACGTATCAATATTTTGTACATACAACCTACTTTTGTCCTAGACAGGTACAGACACATAACACTAATATTATAAATATGAAAGATTTATTTGGATGTTTGGATGTTTGTCCATCAATAACGCTGAAACTACTGAACGGATTTTCATGAAATGTGGTATATAGACAGATTATAGTCCGACTTAGGTGGATATCTAGAATACCTTTTTCCCCGATAATGCTCTCATGGAATAAAACAGGAATCATATTCTACGCGGATGAAATCGGCACGGAACGAAGTCGGCGTGCAACAGCTAGTAACATATAGTCTCATAGTAAGAGCCAAGTCTATTCTTTCAATTTCATTATCAGACACGTTATCTTTACCCCGACCGATAACTCGGAGATCAATGACAGAACCGCATGTTCAGTAACTTGGATTACTACAAGACATAAGACACCTATGTATTTTCTAACAAACTAACCTAGTAAACCAACCTAACTGTCCAAGTAAATTTAGACTCTACAGCCTTATTTATTAGAACTATAATACAATGTTATCAGATGAATATTGTACTATTAATAAACCAGATAGCTGTGGTTCCTTACTTAGTAACATTATACGTATAGAGGTAACATTGAAACCAACTCAGGGTCAAGGTTTTTATAAATGTATAATTTTAATATTCGAGACAATTTGTTTCTGCGAATGAGACGTCGCGTCGTCGACCTGTTATGGAGGAAGATTTTTTTAAACGTAACCGATCAACGATATTCCTTCTTGGCTTCAATGCTATGTAACAGAATTTTACGCCTATTGATAGAGAACAATATTTTCAGTTTATGCTACTAAGATTGACTAATAATTTTTTCGATACTTATAAAAGTTTGACGCTACCAGTTAGGCGGTTAAACTTTCTCAATTTAAATCTAACAAGGCAACTAATTTACGGAAACTTTAATCTTTAGCAAAACTGGTATAGGAAGTATACTTTATAAGTAAACAAAATATACCTAACCTACCTCGACATAACATCCAAATATTGTAATAATAATAATCCAATAAATTAAAATCATATTAAGAAAATTTATGAGATCGTCTTCATGTTTGTCCCTACTATTCAATATCTGTTGCGTACGCTTTGAATAACGACTAATGTCACTCTAATTGATCATTTGAATAAAAAATTGTTTATTGCCAAGAACCCGACCTATCATCGTGGTTATTTATTTAATTAGTTAAAAACTAGTTGCTGCGTTAATGTTACTGTGGTATTTTTATAATGTCAGTATTTCACAAGAGTTTTGTGATCTTGAAAAGAATGCAGAACGGTTGTTGTTTGGAGGACGAAGATGCTTACAAATGTGTGTTTAGGCCATCTCTGGTTTACGCAAAATGATTTGCAATGTCACGGTTATTTGAAAAAATATGGCACATAATCAAATACAGGTTTTGCTTAAACGCGTCCAGCGAAGTTACCGAAAAGTCACCGATTGATTCCCGGAGTGTTTTAGAGCATTTACGTACTTTTTTTCTAGTCCTATGAAGACTGATTTTAGTTCAGACGATCACCCCTACCTCACTCAAATCGCTTATAAAAATATTCCGTTCGATCCAAACTTGTTACTACAATTTTTCTTTGAGAGACTTTCTTTCATATCGGCTCATTCAAAGGGTCCAAAATGCTTGCGCTCGTTTCTGTTACAACATTCCTTGCAGAACCCATGTAACACCATATCTGAACGAACATTTCATATTAAAAATGAAATCCAGACGCAAGCTGCATCTGGCCTGCCTTTTATTTGGTGTAGTTAAATACCAGAAACCGGACTACTTATTCCAAAAATTAAAATGGCTTACGGGCCGGCGGGAATGTGAAAGAAGGCAATGTTCACAGCAACTTACGACCAAGTCATATGGTACAGCCGCTTTCAGGGGCAGCTTTCGCTATGCGGCTTCCAAAGTGTGGAATAACCTCCCACCACCTATTAGAGGAACAAATTCAATGGGTGCATTTAGAAGACGCTTGCGACAATACCTCATCGATACACAGCGAAGGCTTGATATGGTGGTGCAAAATACCTCAATTATATAAGTAATGTACCCGTGCATTCTGTTCATACACACGCAATATAATTTTTATCATATTTAATAAATCTTTTTTGGCTAATTACTATACCCTATTATTATATGTATGTATGTATTATGGTATAACTATATTAATTACTTAATAATTTTATAATACACTTCACACGCTACTCTGCATTTACTGCTTACGTCCGTTGCGTCACAGCCACAGGTTCAGTTGAAAACCAGCGTCAGGCACTAGATGTCTGGCATTTATGCTGAACTGGACCTTTTTTGGTGCAGCTGTCAGGCACATGATTATTGTTGGTATATTTAACTTTTTAAATTTTGTATATACCTACCTACATCTGTTTATGTTCTTTTTTTAATTTTTCTATTTCACTCCTAATTTTTTGTTTGCATTGTATTTATTGTATTGTGTTTGTGCCTGGTGTTGTACCAAATAAATTATTTTTCTTTCTTTCTTTCTTTCTTTCTTTCATATTATAAACAAATATTTTCCACTCACTGACGTAAATACATGTTTATTAATAGTTCAGTTAGTTCATATATTGATGGATAGTATATTATGTTAGCAACAAACAAATGGAAAAATTGATGAATAAAATTAAATAAATTTAAAAGCTAAATAATGTATTACACGGATGACATCCCATCAGAGCTATTAACAATCAAAATGAAATACGACCAATAGATTTCTGTTTAAGATAACGTAAACACAATTTATGATCTACTTCAATTCAATTATGAACACTTTACGAAGACTCGTCATTGCCCGAGGCTTTGCTTCCGCTTATCATATTAACTACCTAAGTATAAGTGGGTTCTATATCACCGACTTCATTTCTAAAGATTTTCAAGGTCAATCTTTTTTTTTGACGGGGAAAGTCATCCAATGAGTTCTCTCACCTTTGGTTAGGCGAGAGGGAGTGACAGATTCTTATTGTCTAAAAACCAATCCATTCCTACTCCTGCTCTTTGAGCCGGAGCGCGGAGCCCCGACAACCAGTTAGGCCTTCCGCGTCCTGTTCACTCTATGTTCGGTTTTAATTAATTCTATTCTTGCGTGGTAATCGGTTAGATACACAACTGCTACCTTCTACCAGCGACTTCACTCACGTTCCCGGGATATCTCTACAAAATTCACCCAAATCCGTCTAGCATATTTTTTCGTGAAAGAGGATAATAAACGTACATACATCTCTCACATTTATAATAGTATCTAGTTGGATACGAAGTTCTAATTCGTATACAAAATGCTCGCGGATCGTGTTTTACATATGCATAGATAATGCGCGTGCATAATTAAGCATTTAGATTTTGGCGCCAACTATCCCAATAATTTTAATACCAGACTAGGAATATTTTACTAACACTTTTCACGTGTAGTTACCAAATTAAGAAGCTATTTCAATAGCCTTGATATTTTCAAAAATCTTATCTAAATTAATTTGATTTCAAAACAATCTGTTGACTTTATTGAGCCGGTATTTAAAGTGTTTCGTATTTTGATGGTTATGTTTTCATGAATGTAACTCGTGGATGTCTTGACAGACAGGTGTGTGACCAAATTATTTTAATATTAATTAGGTTCGTGAGAATTGGTTTGAATTAAAACATGTTAACGTTTTATAATATTATCATTAGGATTTATCAACTAAGAATTTCACATCCACGTGCTTCTCGGAGATAGATAGATAGGTAGCATAAAAACCAAAATTATACTTTGTCTAACATTTTAATTAGTATAATGTGGTGTCTGATATACGAGATAGAATATATTATTATAATGGCCAATATTAATTTAAAATGTATTTTATTTCACACTCTTTTTACAATAGGTACATTCATTGTATATAACTATCTGACCCAGTAGATTTCGTACCACTTTACATAATCCTTCTTTCTAAGGAAACAAAATTGTTGTACTTTTTTTTACCTGGACTCCCACAAAAAATTCAAGACCGAAATTAGCCATATCGGTCCAGCCCTTTTCGAATTTTAGAAAACGGCTTCGACTTTCGAGCCTAACGAACAGCAATTCATTTTTATATACAGGTTATATTCTATATACATGTATAGAAGACGTATTGTTGAAGTAAATATATAGTAAACCATTTGCAGTTTTCGTTCCAAACTTACTGTCGAAAAACTATAATAATCAGCAAAAAATCTCAACTATGTCTATTATGGTGAAGTAAATAGTTAGCTATGGAGTAAACGTAGCCACGAACATGGTAATAATGTGTGTAATTTGAAGCCTTGGGCCGAGATTACATGTCTTACACTGTAATATGATAAATATATAATAATGGCTGCGTCAATCAATTCCCTTCACCTTGACCGACTCTTATCTGTCACGCTAGTTGGGTAAAGATGGTATTATATTCTAAGGGATTAATAAAACTGTCACTTGCAAATGATGGTGTTAAGTTAATATAAGATAACATCACGCCTGTTATCCCGAAAGTCTAGGCAGAGGTGCACATTATGGCACTTAATGCCACTGCACATTATAGATAACGCCCACTTCTCACTGTCTATGTTATGAGTCTCATGTAATAGGGGGTGACCCTATTGCCACATATCCGGCACAATTCCAGACTCTGTGCTACTACTGAGAATTATATAAAATACCCAGTAATACTTTGCCCGAAGCGGAAATCAAGCCACACTTGCAACCACTCGGCTAATGAGGCAGTCAGTGTTGAGTTCTTAATTTAGGTAAAATAGAATGTTTTAGTAAATGGTGAAGGTTTTCGCCTCAAAATAAAGATCAGCCTAATTAAACTGATTTTAAATTATTGGATACCAATTGCCATCAGTATAGAAAATACCACTGTTGTACGTGCTTCATTTATATCAAAATTTTGTTACTAATTTTTAAAAATATCCAGATTCCTATATGAAAACTGAAGATACCAATAAATTTATCTATGTCGTGGGTATATTTTTATAGTTTGGTTTGTTTGACTAACACAAGATGTGAATCTGTTTGTTTTATCTTAATTAAGTAACCGTTAATTAATTGTTTAAGACCAATATATTTTATGGGCAAGGTCTTGTTCGAATTCAAACGAATATTCATAAAAGGTGGCCATAAACAAAATAGAAGTACCTAAGTATGTACTAACCAGTGACTATTGCAGATTGATACATATTTATGAAACGTTCTATTTTTATTGATCCTCTAATGACTTAAAAATAAAAGATTTATGATCTAACTTTATGGTAGTTTAGTAAAAAATAAAAAGTAGGCAGTATCATGGCCACTAAGACTTGTGTAGTCAATTAAATTAAAAAAATATATTTAAGTGTTTATCTAGAAGTTTTAAAATTACACGAGGCTGTTTTTGTTTTATTGCCGACTCTAAATCATCTACACCTATCTTCATAGTATAGATAGGTATGCTCTTAAAAGCTTGTATAATTATACCAGCCTCACAAAAAACAAAACCACAATTCGTCGTTTAAATATGAAAATGTTATTTTCCAAAATTTTTTGGAGAATAATATTATTACGTAAAACGAGTCTACAAACAAGATTATTTTATATGTAAAAACGACACTTTAAATAAGTCACGCCAAGTTGCAATTGTCATGTATTTTCTGAATTACGTCATTTTTCTGTTTAACCGACGATTTTTTTTACTTTAATAAAGACGTATGCATGTATATCTATACAAAGGTATCTATTTCAATAGCAGAAGGAATATACTGAAAGTAAATAATATTTTCTTCCAGTGTCTAATACAGACTTAAAATATTTTTATATACAGCAGATGTTACGTTATCTAAATATTTGTCAATGGGTACACAGTGTACGTAGTGATTGATTAGATCGATTGAACGTAGTAATTGTTTGGCTACAGTTTAATTGAGACCATTTGTATATATGTTCATTCAATAATATAGTATGTATCGTTGTCGAATTCTTTGCCGACTTTCTTCATTGATTTTATTCTGTTCTGTTTTATGCTTTGCAACATTTCTATTGTGCGTTCACACACTCAGTAACAGAACAAACAAAAGTATCTTAATTAAATGTTTATATCTGATATATTTAATGCATTTATTTTCATTGAAAACGCACTGTTATTAAAACTACCGTATAACTGGGTGAATAGATTTCAAATGATGAATAGATACAAGAATGGGGTGACTAGATGTTTGAGGATTTTTCGAACATTTATTCACACTACTTCTGTATCTATGCACCCCTCGAATTCTATTCACCTTGTTTTACACGTATTTATGTACCAAATTAGCACTCAAAAGATAATGTCAAAGGAATAAGGGTTACAGTTAGTCTAAAATTCTAAATAAATAATCTGGTATACGAAACTATATTTTATAAATCACGCATCTTACATAAAAACACTTTTCTGTAAAAATATATAAAAAAAGTATAAGTATAAAGTCTCTATGGACAGAACATTATCTTAATGAAATGACTAGATAATCCGAAGTAGGATATCACATGTCACATTCACATTACAACTCGGAAGGGAAACGCATGAATACTTGAACAGAATTTACTATATCAAATTCCTTTCCTAACACAATAAATATCTTGTTAATATAATAAATAAGATTACCTTCATGCTTCATCTCAGCCTTGACCTCAGGAGTCGTTGGGTAACTGTATCGGTCAAATTTTGGAGGCTGTTCAGTTATCCACATGTAGCTTCCGTATAGTATATGTTCACTGTTTATTTTAAGTTTCAAATTATTCTTAGATTAAATATATTTCCTTTGTTAGGTATGTGACAAAAAAGATGATACTTAATATTTTATATAAGACAGAAGGAACTTTACACATTTTGTCTTTTTCTCAAATTATAACTACAAAATACATAGTAAGAAAATACCACAGCAAATTTTTATAAAAATACTTATTAATTATCCCCAAATTGTTTATGTTAACGGTCATTGATTCCAAGTTAATCTAAACTTTGCATGGATAACCAGTATTTAATTAAAACATCTGTTTTATCAGTACATAAATGAAAATAATGAACAATTACGGAATGTTTTATTATGACTGATAACACAACACAAACAGTAGCATAGTAATCTCACACATTCTCTATATTAATAACTACTACAACGATGCTCCTTTAGAAATATTTACGATGTACATTAACATTGGCCAACTACAATAATAATAATGTAATTGTTTTAATTATAAATGAATAACTGCACCAATTAGATAAACCAGAATACTTGTTCATACTATAGACAAGATCTGCTGACACAAAATATACCCAAAATGTCTGTATCCTCAACTTACAAACTGGTTGGTAATGTCAAATGATTTTTAAACATGAAAATCAACTGATTTCCAGGTACCAGAGACTCCAATATGGCTGCTATCGAAGGGCCGTCAAAAAGAAGCTCTCAATTCCCTATGTCGTCTCCGCGGCTGGGCAAAGCCAGAACACGTGAAAGAAGAATTTGATGAACTGATACAATACCACGATGACTTACGACGATGTGTGCTATGTGCCAAAGAAGGAAAGATCTTGGAACCATGCGAACATTACGACACAAGTCCTTTCAAGAAGATTATTTTGAAAATAAAATACATATTCTTCGTTAAAGAAACCATGAAGCCGTTTATGTTGGTGCTAGCGTACTTCTTCTTTTACACCATGAGTGGAGCTGTGCCCGTGAGGCCTAACATGGTAAACGTGTGCAGAGCCTTAGGAATGAAATATGACCCCAAGAATATTGTTGTAAGTAACTATACTAAACTAGTATTCTCTATAGAATTCCAATTAGGTTATTTATTATTTCAAGTTATTAATTAGGTTGCTTATGGGATGACGTGATTCATCGTAGAATGTATCATCGCTTACCACCAGGCGATATAGTAGTCAAACGTCGGCCCATCAAAAATAATTTAAAAAATCTGATTGCCTCATTAACTGTTTTGACAATTCCGTCCTATCTTCTTTCTGCTGAGAATTCTCTAAATTGTACGCACTCTTTTTGTTGCGCCTGTGGGATTTTTTAAATATTACCCTATTTCATAACCTTATCAACACATTTAAAATGTCTATAATCATGAAATTTTATCTTAATTTGAATTATGCTTGTTTCCTATATATTTAATGAATGCCGACTGCCTAGTTGGCCAAGTGTTCGCTAGTGCGACTGCCGGGCAAGGGGTCTAAGGTTCGATAACCGGGTCGGGCAAAGTACTACAGGGTTTAAAAAAACTCAGTAGTAGCACTGAGTCTGGAATTATGCCCGGTATATGGCAATAGGCTCTCCCCCTTTTACATGGGAGTCATGACATAAATAGTGGAAAGTGGGTATTTAAGTGCCGTAATGTGCACCTCTGCCTACCCCTTTGGGGATTAAAGGCGTGGTGTTTATGTATTATGTTAATGAATGTCATACGTTTCCCTCGCTCCTATATATTTCGGTAAATCACAGATTTATATTCAACGAGCACATTACGTAGGTAGATTCTCACTGCTACAATATAAATTATGCACTTGTTTGTATATTGAAGATTCCAGATGAAATGTTGATGACCTTATACAACTAGTTATTTTTGTAATACCAGAATTAGAATAGGTTCGTGATTAACATGTGAAGAATGCATTTTTGAATTAATTTCAAGGACTATATTCAAAACTTTACTCCCTTATGCACCGCTCTTGGTTTCACTTATTTCATTTACCTAAATAATATTTTTTGATTGATCAAAGGACTGTAGAGCTTGTCTCAGTATATTCACGTGAATAACCCGCGATTTAGTTACTTGATCAAAGGACTAGTACACTTTGATCAATTTATTTTCTACATTGCTCAACAGTGATGAATTATATCTCATATGTAAGCTCATATTATGGTGTATGCCATAATGAGCTTAGCTGCCGTGAAATGAAATAAATTACATTGATCAAAAAGATAATATATTCACCTCATCACATCGAATTATCTTTGCCAAAATCAACTAAATCTAATCATATATTATGCAACTTTCATACAAGTTTTGACTATCCAATACAAAAATATTTAAATAAACATAAATCCCATATTTTCCAGGTTATCATTGGCGCTCTCTTCATAGTAACAAGCTTACTGTCAGCTGCTATCGTCAAATTTATTGGGAAGAGGAAGCTGGTCGTCGGATCCATGTTGGGAACAGCTTGCTGTAGCATGGCCATCAGTATCTACGCTCGTATGAACCTTCCTCCCAGCGTCTTCTCCTACGAGATCGACACGTTCACTGACAAGAAGGAACTCTTGCCTGTCATCTTATTCTTATCACTGATTTTCTTCAACGCACTTGGAATCCCTTGGGTGCTCTTGTCCGAAGTTTTTCCATTTCGGTATGTGTGTGTTTTTTTATATTTGCATAAAGTAGATCTAGGTAATCGATTTTCAAATGTATCGTTATTACACAAGTGTCTATTTCATTTGACTTACGTTCTGAATCATGTTGATACACTGTATTCATTACACCGTTATTAATGAAACTTAATCATATTCCAGGAGCCGCGGTATCGCCACTGCCCTCGCAGCTGCATCCAACTACATCATTTACTTCGGTGCAGCTAAAACTAACTACAATATTGAATATTCTTTCCATCTAAGTGGAACATTTGGTATATATGCCATATTCGGTTTCATAGGAACAATATACTTGTATTTGTTCTTACCAGAAACTGAGAAGAAAACTTTAGCCGAAATTGAAGCATATTACAAAAGTGATAGAAAAATATTCGCTGATGATTTCTTAATAAACGCTTTTAGGAAGAAGAAAGTCGTAAGCAGTGATGCTGATAAACCGATGCTAGTCAAAACAATTAATTGAAATTCTTAGATAAACGAATGTTAACGATTTTATAGATGTTGCATGAGTTCAACGTGATACTGACCGACATTATATTGATAATATAGTCATCATTTGTCGACTGGGTTCTACTACAAGTGTTTCAACTAGATTTTCTTCTTCTAATTCAACTGATCTGATATCAGTAAGAGTTGTACAGGTATTAGTATCATTCAAAGTCGTAGAAAGACATCAATTAAATAAGTATACGTAAAAACAGATAGTGTGTTTAGTTTAGATGTTTGCTTTGGCAAAATTGTTTCTTATTCAAGAAATTGCATTGTTCGTTCGTAGTACTAAGTTGATTTGTACAAATATGCTAATATGTAGTTTTTTGTATTTATTAATAGTGTCCACTATCCCAAAATATTCGTATTTCGAAAAGATATTTTTTATTAAAAAGACATATCGGTTATAAAATATTCTTGTTATCATTTTTTCCTCGATTTGTATCATTTTTACATGACTACTTATTATAATAAACAGCATTTATACTTCATCAACATTCCGCCACTTTTAAGTTAGTGTCCTTAACTGTTCTCAAAGTAATAAGGCGAAATATTTTTGGGATTAGTACAGATCAAATGCTTGCCATTATGTTTAAGATTTAGGTAAAATATTGTATTTACTATTTACCTATGTATATGTATGTAGTACTATGTAGTTATAATAACCATGAAAGCCTCGGATCGAGGCTGATCGTGATTTGTACGCCGTGGATGCACGACATTCACGTGTTACTGTAAATACTGTTGCTCTATAAAATAAATTGTTTTCATTACCTTTCTCGTTTTGTTCATCGTCCTTTCATTTTAGGTCAAAATTGATTATCTATGTGTCCTTTATCAAATCTACAAATATGCGTAAAAGGCTAGAGCGCCTGATACTTTTTGCAGAGATATCATCCTAACTGTGCTTTCTAAGAAATACTAAAGGTAAGATTATAAATGATAACAACTGTCATAATTTTGAAACATTTTATTTAGGTGTCGAAGTCTGCAGAATTCTAAAGAAATCTCTAGTTTCACCTTTGACAGTTGTCAACCATGTCTTTGGTCTTACACAATTATTCTTCAAATTTGGATTAGCCTCACAAAGTTCATCGTTCGTCGGAATTTCATTAATATTTTTCGTTCTACCACTGGTAGGTCGTGGAGGTATTTCATCAGTTTTATTTTCAGATTGAGTGTTATTTTGTACTGGTACTTTAGTAATATTTTCATCAGAAGTGGTATTTTTCTCACCTGCCTCAACTTCTTCACATCCTGAAAAAAAATATTACAAAATTACATGAATCTTTATGACTATAATTTGTTACTAAATGAATAAATAAAACTACTTGTTGGTCAAATGGTTACAAACGATCTCCGTGATCCTCAACTAAGGCAAATTAATAATTATTTTTTTTACGCTCAAAATTTGTAGTGATTACAAACTTTGGAATTCTGTTCAGAATCATAACTGGTCATAAATGTGTAGTACTTTAATATAGGACACCTATGAATGTGTTTACATGAAACAAGTGAAACAAGTAAAATGGAATGATATAAATGGTATAGAATGGTATGGAATGGTATGGAATGGTATGAAATGGTATAGAATGGTATGGAATGGTATGGTATGGAATGGATTAATCAATAACCTGATACTATAAAAATTAAATGAAACACAGAATAGTTTCATTTACTTATTTAATAAATAAAAAAACAGTTCGTCTATACATTAATGAAGATATTTTTTTAATCGTTTGCGTTTTGTAGTTATAACCCATGAATGAGGTCTATCACATCCCAAAAATTGGCAAGGGTGTGTCGGATACCCATAATTTCTTACTACTTTACGAGTAGTTGTAGCTGTTGACACTGTTGTTGTCACCTCAGTTACATTTTTTTTAACATCTTCTGGACTTGTGGTAGTGGGGTAAAATGTATAAGGCTCAGTAGTAGTAGGAAAAAAAATATCAGTAGTTGTTCTAGCAGCGGTTGTAGTAGGTGTTGTTGCAGCGGTTGTAGTGGTTGTTTTATGTGTTGACCTTTTTGTCGTGGTAGTTGGATAAAATGTATAAGGCTCAGTAGTAGTAGGAAAAAATATATCAGTAGTTGTTCTAGCAGCGATTGTAGTGGTTGTTTTATGTGTTGACCTTTCTGTCGTGGTAGTTGGATAAAATGTATAAGACTCAGTAGTAGTAGGAAAAAAGATATCAGTAGTTGTTCTAGCAGCAGTTGTAGTAATTGTGGTTGTGGTTGTTTCATCTCTTGGACTTTCTGTCGTGGTAGTTGGATAAAATGTATAAGGTTCAGTAGTAGTAGGAAAATAAATATCAGGAATTGTACTAGCAGCAGTTGTAGTGGTTGTTGTCCTTGTAGTGGTAGTCGTGGAATGAGAAGAAGAAGGCACAGTTAGTTCAGTACTAGTATAAGTAGGAACGGTTGGTATAGTAACGTAGTACGTTGACTTTTCGGTGGTTTGCCGAATTGTGGTAGATCTTGGAGTTGTAGACTTTGGTGTAGTTTTTATTGGTTTTGTTGGTACATTTGGTACATTTGTGGTACGCCAGGTAGAAGGCCTATCACATGGTGGTAAGTGACGGTTACAATCGCAGTTATTGTCGAATGTACTTGTTTCAACTTCATTTTCAAGATAGTCTGAGTCTGGATATATATTTATGTTATCCAATATATTGGAATAATGTTGATCATTTGAGAATATTTTATCACCACATATTCTTTTGTAACCTGAAAGGATATAATTAATTTTAATATTTGTTAATCGAAATCTCTTTTAGGTCACTACTAGTACGATTATTATTAATAGTATTACGAATTTACGACAAATATACGACGGGAAAAATTGGACTGGACTTGTAATAAAAATGACAAAGTAAGTCCAAACAATATATTCATGAAATACAAATTTACTAGTATATATACATTATTCATTATACCTGTAGTATTTGCGTTTTCTTGATTTCCTTGTTGTGAACCATGTGACAGGTCTGTCACAATTTATATTTTTGCATGTCGTTGGATACCACCACGGCGTAGTATGATAATAAGTTGGTATTCGTTTAGTAGGAGGAATCGTAGTAGCACGTGTAGTAGTAGGCTTCGTGGTAGTTAATCTCCTAGTAGTAGGTTTTATAGTAGTAGTTGTAGTGGTAGATTTAGTAGTAGTCGATGTTGTAGTGGAAGGTGTAGTAGTAGTTGTAGTGGTAGATTTAGTCGTAGTAGATGTTGTAGTGGAAGGTGTAGTAGTAGGCTTAGTAGTTGTTGTTGTAGTAAAAGGTTTAGTAGTTGTATGTTTTGTAGTTGTAGTAGGTTTAGTAGTTGTTGAAGGTGTATTAGTTGTACTTATAGTAGATTTAGTGGTTGTTGTTGTTAGTTTAGTAGTAATAGTAGGTTTGGTTGTTGTTGTAGTAGATTTAGTAGTTATTGTTGTAGTAGATTTAGTAGTTGTCGTGGTTGTAGTAGATTTTGTTGTTGTTGTTGTAGTAGTAGTAGGTTCAGTAGTTGTTGTTGTAGTAGTAGGTTCAGTAGTTGTTGTTGTAGTAGTAGGTTCAGTAGTTGTTGTTGTAGTAGTAGGTTCAGTAGTTATTGTAGTAGTAGGTTCAGTAGTAGTTGTTGTAGTAGTAGATTCAGCAGTAGTTGTTGGTATTGTAGTAGTTTCAGTAGTTGTTGTGGTAGTAGGTTCAGTAGTTGTTGTTGTAGTAGGTTCAGTAGTTTTTGTTGTTGTGGTTGTAGGTTTAGTAGTTGTTGTTGAAGTAGTAGGTTCAGTTGTTGTTGTTGTAGTAGTAGGTTCAGTAGCTGTAGTTGTAGTAGTTGTTGTTGTAGTTGGTTCAGTAGTTGTTGTTGTAGTTGGTTCAGGAGTTGTTGTTGTAGTTGGTTCAGTAGTTGTTGTTGTAGTAGGTTTAGTAGTTATTATTGTAGTAGGTTCAGTGGTAGTAGTTGTTGTTGTTGTAGTAGGTTCAGTAGTAGTAGTTGTTGTTATTGTAGTAGGTTCAGTAGTAGTAGTTGTTGTTATTGTAGTAGGTTCAGTAGTAGTTGTTGTTGTAGGTTCAGTAGTAGTTGTTGTTGTAGTAGGTTGAGTAGTTGTTGTTGTTGTTGTTGTGGTAGTGGTTGTAGGTGTAGTTGGTTTAGTAGTGGTTGTTGTTTTAATTGATGTAGTCGTTGTTATTGTAGTTGCAGGTGTAGTAGTAGTTGAAGGTATAGTAGTTGTAGTAGGCTTAGTAGTAGTAGTTGTAGTTGAAGTTGTAGTAGGCTTAGTAGTAGTTATTGTAGTCCTAGGTATTGTAGTAGTATGTTTAGCAGTAGTGGATGTTGTAGTAGTAGGTTTAATAGTAGTGGATGTTGAAGTAGTAGGTGTTTCACTTGGCACTGTAGTTGGTTCATTACTGAAGGTACTCTCCGATTGTTTATTTGTGGTTGTTATTACAGTTGTAGTTCTGATTCTCTCTGTTGTACTTTTTGTTGTCTCCGGTTTTTTAGAAGATGTAATTGGAATTGAAGCTGTTCCGGAAAAAAAGAAAGTAATTAGTGACTTTTAAATTCATTATTTAAGTTAAGCAATATTGATGATACAGCTTTTTTTGTATTTGTTTCTTTTAAATCAGTAGTGAATCAATCTTGTTACCTAAAAATTTTGTTAAAGAAACAGGGTCGAGATTGAATGAAGTTGCTGTTTTTTTAATAAAAAAACGTTGTTTATTATGTTTCTAAAATTGCTTTAAATATGTGTGCCGTTTCAATTTATATTGCATCTGAGATTCATCGAATCCTCGCTATCAAACCACAGTGAAAATAATTGAAGATGCGTATTTTAGAAAAACTAAAATTCAAGAACCACAAAAACTGCAACTTCATTTGAAATCACTACATCTAGGTATAACAAAATATTAGCTCTGAAATTGTTGATGTAAGAAGCTGTCATGTGTCCTAATATTATTATTTTGTCAAAACGTTCCATCAATAATTTAATTACAAAATTGATAATTATTTTAGTGTTTTTAGGAACTCGGTATTTCTCGAAAACGGAATAGACATTATCAATTTCAGAAGTAATAAACTGTTGAGTTTAAGTTAAATTAACTAACTAATCCAAACTATTCAGCTTACATTTTGTACTCCGCTTAGACGTTGTTGTGGTCTCAACGCTATCTGGTATGATTGTTGTCATCCTAGTTGATGAAGTAAAAAAGAAATTTTTCGTCGTTTTCCAAGTTTTAGGTCTATCATCGCAACACAGTTCAAAATCTACAGTATTCAGATTTACGTCGTCGGCTGGTCTAGGAGTAAGGTTGTTAAAATTTACGAAAGAGGTTTTATAGTTTGGAAATGTTTTTATTGTCGGTTTATGCGCATCCACTTTCATATTACATGTATTGCATTGGCATGTTGTTCGTTTCGAATTATATATAGGTATATTATCGGGGTAATGATCCAGTAAGTTATAGTCATTGAAGTGAATATGTTGTGCATGCTTTTTAAGTTTTGACAAATGGTTCGATCTCGCCGGTGGAACCCGTAAGTAATGACTTTTCACCTGAGGAGGAAGTATGAATTGTGCTACCGTTTGCGGTGGTTGTATGTTATAATTTGCTTGTGTTGTCATCGGATTTTCAGGATCCAGAAAATTAATAAATTTAAACTCTTCTTCCAAAGACCGAACGTGTTTTTGCATTTGATCAAATGATTGTTCATTTTCAAGGGTGCGTTCTGGTGAATAAACTCGTCGATGTGTCTGTAGATTTTCTAGTTTGTTTTCTTTAAATTTTTGTTCAGAAGCCTCAATATTCTTGGTTCTCAGTTCAGGGCTGACTGTTTCAATGGTAGAGGCATGTAACGCTTCCACGAATTTATAAGCTTCAGTTGTCGGTTTCAGTGCGCCTATGTGATCATTTATGTCTACCAATGATTGAACATCTTCGTCTGGATGTTCAAGAAAATCGTCATCTTCGGTAGTCTCTTTTGTTACTTGCGTATATCTCGATGGAAAATAATATGTCGCGTCTCCTATTGTATTTGCAGCAATATCTATATAATGTTCTGGATTAAATGGCAAAGTGTATGAAATTTGTGGTGTTAGTATCGGTGGTGCTGGCCATGTTGACTTCGATGGTATCCATGGCGGCGGTGCTCTCGTTACCACTGACTTTAACGGCATTTTTTGTAAGAAATGGTAATCAAATTCTTTTGTTTGTGTAGGCCACGTTGTCGTCACACACTTTTCACAAGGTACTGATGGCAAAACTGATGTACCTACACGTCTCTGTATAGATATGCCTGCATGTTGTGGTGTCTCGTTCGGTACAAAGTTACGCCTGTTGTGGTCTAGTGCAGTTTTACATGTTGTTGGTGGACGAAAAGAGAGTGGGAGTGGGTCGCTTATATCTAATTCTGGACCTAAACAAAATACGCTGTAGGTTTCCCGATAACCTGAAAATTTATATTACATTATAATTTTTAACATTATAATAGGTAACGTTTTAATGTCTTAAACAAATCGTTAAGAATAAAAATGTGGAGTAAAACAAATGGTGAAATGCTTAATTATTTTATTAAAATACTTTTCTATCTTCGTTCATATATTGCAAGCTATGTCTTGTTGGCCACCTGGGCAAGAGTTACTCGGTGGACCCGTGTGTTTTCTGTACCCTGAAATTGGACAGATAAAACATTACTATCAAAATTAATATTTTATCTGTAGTTTTACTCCAAAACCATTTTTATTCCTAACGTTTTTGTTCACGGTACCATAAAAATTGAATTTTATAAAAAAAAATCAAACAATACAATCAAAAACCTACGCCATGTGAATTGTTTAGTTCACGCTCATATAAACGTGTTAATACGCCACAATGTTACATTTTAGAAAGCAGCCAATCACGCGGTGTGTCTTTTCGTGGACCTAAACCTACATCCGGGACAATTGAACACAAATTCTGTTATTTCCAAATGATAATAAAATATACAAAATCTAAAAATTAACTATTATGGTATGTTTATCATCATTTTTGCATTATTATAGTTTAAAAAACGTGTAGCCTTTTGTTTTGAGGACATGTGCTTTTCAAAAGATTGCTTCATCACGTGTGTGCCTGTTACAAATTAACTGTACGTTGACTAATTGCCAGTTTTTGTTTGTTGAGTACGTTTCGTTATTGGGTACTTAGTTTTTGTTTTAACGGTTACAGCTTTGTCGAGTAAAAATGTTGGATGAACGCTAAAGGAAACATTTTCATAAACTGAATTATTGAACTTTAAATCAAATGGAAATAATAAATAACCGTAAGTAAATAAAAGTGATATAAAGGCTTCTAATGTAAAGTGCGTAACAAAAGATAATCACAGTGTATTAAAGACGTAAAAAAGTACAAAGAGATTTATTATACAACGATTAGGATACTGAAACCCTTTGTTTTAATAGCAACATATTATAAATTGAAGAATTAAAGTAAAATTGATACATACGTGCACCGAAATCACAGTTATATTCATACATGTCGCACTGGTCGAGGAATGTCTTCCGACCGCACCCATCTTCAGTGGCTGCGCATACCATACGATTGTCGTGTACACACACCGATGCCAAACTGCAGTAGTTGATTGGCTGAAAAGAAAATGAGTGAATACTGGTAAACACGTGAATAAAATTAATTCTAACACAAGATTTTGAATGTAAGTACTAAATGCAAAACTATTTCTCAAGTAATAGAATTACCACATATCGGACAATTTATAGATATTATTGAATTCAAAAAGATAAATAATTGACTCACATAAACCAAATGCTGCTGTGTCAAATGTACTGATGTAAAAACTGAAAGAAGAGAAATTAGATTTAATGATGTCCACCTACATAAAGTCCTTCTTTCGCCCTCTGGGTTTGTTTACCATAAATCTTATGTTTGGCAAGCAATACGCAATTCTACGCTCGGTTCACCAGATCAACACATAAGTATTTCTTACGACATCTCTCCTGATTCAATACAAAATATTTTTTCTATGGGATAAGCCGGTAAACGAACAGACGGATCACCTGATGGTAAGCAATCGGCGTCGCCCATGGACACCTGGAACATCAGAGGCGTTACAAGTGCGTTACCGGCCTTTTGAGAATTAGGAGTTTGAGGACTACTGGAGATTCAGTTGTTGATGTTGCTTCACGTCAGTTTTCTGTGAGGCGTAGTATCACTCCGATCGAGCCGGACCATTCGTGCCGAAGCACAGCTCTCCCACGCTTCAATATCCTAAATTACTTGTGATCAATCTAAAAATGTTTATTCGTCCCTTATTTATTACTTCATTTGTTCACACGTTTGTTTAACTCATTTTTGAAATTTGTTAAATTAATTAGCTACTGAGAGAACAGAAGCATCACAGAGAATATAATAAAAAATGTCTCACCCAACAAAACAAATAACAACATTTTATCAAAACATTGTTAGTACATTGTTAGTAATGGAACGACTGTAACTTGTTGATTTTCAATTACAATAAAATATTTATAACTTTTACACCGCAGTCATAAACTGTATTGATTCAGAAGTCACAACTACCGCAAATACACACCTTCGTATCCTAAGACTAGGATCTTATTTCTTAGTGTTTTATAATTTCGTTTATTCGAACTTATGAAGTTTTGTGATAATCACATAAAAAATATTTTCCAAAAACAAAGTGAATTTTATTCGACATCAATTACAATCTATTTCGCGACACATTCATTGTTATTCCATGTATGTTTCGTGTAATTACAACTTCTGCCATAGGTACATGAATTATAAATTTTGTAGGTATGAACCCTTTTGTGAATCCAAGGTACAAACAATTTGCCAAACTATTAAAAAAAAAGCTTCCTTTATAAATTTTAACAAATGACATGTAGTTTTTATTCATCACGATCATCGGTGTTACTAATTAGGTGTTCTTCATTTCAAGGCTTCATTTCAATTGTAGACACTATTGTACACAGTAGGTACCTAAACGTTCATAGCTGAAATGCGAATAGGATTTTACCAGTCACGTACTTAACTACATAAAGACGTAGGTACTTAAATATTGTTATGTAAATTAAGGACACATCATTTTATATGCAACATCATTTCAAATATTTTTAATTGGTTATAAGACCTGTCACTACATCAAGACCGACTGACATGATTTCTTTCCCCTATACTTATTACACCCTTTGATTTCTTCTTTCTGCTTGTTGGTTTTATTTTCTTCAACAATTTCCCTCAACTTCATTCTTTTTACGAGTATATATATAAATACTTCCTTTTCCGAGCTGTTTTCTTTCCCACCAACAGATGTATAAATACGTAGGTAAACGAACTTTCAAACATTTATCGTCTGTGATGTAACTCTCTAAAAAAGGTGTACCTAATTGCCTCAAATAAAATTCAATATGGTTAACTCTTACCTGCCGCCTCATAAAAATACGAATTGACTTCACACTTATAAATATGCACCAACTTTGATTCAAAATTTCGGTGCAAATGACTTGCAAAACATTTCCAGCGTCGGACAATCTGGCTAAAATCACGTGAAGACATTTTATAAGCCGTATGGGTTAGGTACTTTAAACTGATAAAAAATATATATTTACTTGGAATTAAGCCAGCCAAATTACCTACAGATTTTTCTACCTGATAACATAAAGTGGGTCAGGTATAAGGATATATCAACAGGTAATCATAATTATATTTACGGTAACTCCGCATTGACATAGCTCAGAATCTCAGTATGTAATCTTTGTTGAAGAAATAATATTCTTTTAAAAGTGTTATCTACGAATATACCCTCGTTCTCTCAACTAAAACCAGGAAAAAGCCGAGCAAGATGTTTCACTTTTGGTTCGTGTTCATTTCGTGTTAAATGGTTTTTATTTAATTTTTATTTTAAAAATGGGCAACATTTTTAAAATAAAAATTAAATAATCGGGTATCGGGCAACTCGGAATTTATCCTATGTCGTGAGTGCGTTTACAAACATACAATTTCATTTCATTTCAATAAGCACCTCTTATCACACTTATACCAACTTTTAACTTACTCTTTATTATTTTGAACCGCAACCATGTATCAACAAAACTTACTAGTCTACATCAGTAGACTAAACTATCTACTTACTATCAAGTAAGTAGATAGTTTAGTTTATTATTCCGTTTATTAACCACATAACTAAGTATATACAAGTATCCTGTTCATGGCTTTCACCTCTAAACTAAAACAAGTCATTATGTATCAATCAATTAAACATTTAATTTAATAGTTAATATAGAATTTAGTGTAAGTATATCGGCTGCTGCTAAATTCACGTGGTTACCTCACGTGTATTTTAATTATTTTTTTTTATATTTAGGTAAATAATTATGATAATGTCTTAATTAGCTTGGGAACAAGTACTGTGAGTGAATAACAATAGCCAATATTATCACTACATTTTATTTTTTATTGACAATGACAATTTTTATGAAAGGCGACAACACCTTACAACAGAGAATATAAAACTTCTCAATTTTTCCTATAAATTTTCCATTAGTTTCTTTTGTTTACCTATTCTAATTAAAATTAGAAAATATATATCAAACTAGCAATTAATCGACTTTTCATTTCATCTTCATTCATCAAAGCGATTTCTTCAAGCAGACTCATCGATTAAGGATGCGTTTAATTGAGTCCATTATCAATATACCATTTATTTAGTCAACGAACGAGCACTTCCCATGCACTTACGGAAAAATACAAATCATCAAATACGGGGTCATGATCGAATTGGTAAGTTAATTAGGGTGAGGGGAAAAAGACACAAATGTAGCATTTACCTGAAATATCGATGAATTTCCATACTTTTGAATAAGTGCAATAAAATGGATATCTATCGACATTTTTACTTTGCATACCATTTTCCAAGTTTAAACTAGATAAATAAATTATAACTTTCATGCTAGCTAAATTAATATAGTAGCAGCGCAACACTCAGGTCGTCTCGTGTGTCGCTGAATGGTCCTCATGATTATAAGCCTCTAGCATAGCTTGAAAATAATTAATACTTGAATGTTATTATCAAACGTAGAGCAATGTGGGGGAGAGTCATGTTCCGTCACGAATGGGCCAGCTCGACCGGCGTGACACCACGGCATCACAGAATACCGACGTGAAACAACGCGTGCGTTGTGTTTCGTCTAGTGAGTATTAACAATCCCCAACAATCCTGAAATTCGCAATCCTGAAAAATCTGAAAAGGCACTTATTGTATAACGACAATTAGCTCTAATGCGCATTAAGTAATTTGGGAATGTTTATTGAAAAAAGTACTGTCTATATGTTTTTTTTAAGGGGAGAAAATCGTCGAATTACTGCTTCCGCCTGGGTGAGGCGCGAGGGAGTGTCAGACTCTTACTAACTAAAACCACCCCGTTCCTTCTCCTTCACGTCGAGCCGGAGAACCGGTAACCCGTTAGGTTCTCCGCGACACTGTCTTTATGAATAGAAGCATGTTTATTCATTCATAAAACAATAACGACGTTATTTTAAAAATAAATGAACATTAAGTATTACTTGGTGTCGGTACATTGGAAGTGTCGTGGTGGCCCGGAGGTTAAAGCCGCCCGTTTCTCATGCATGAGGGTGCAGATTCGAAACCTACCAACGGCAAGTACCAATGTAACTTTTTCCGAGTTATATGTAGTGTCTATGATTATTTAGACACCACTGACAAACGATATAGGAAAAAATCGTGAGGAAACCTGGACTTATAATTTCTAATTATAAGTTTGAAATCACCAAGCCGCGTTGAGCAAGCTTGGTGATTAATGCTCAAACCTTCTCCGTGTGAGAAGAGGCTTTGCTTAGCAGTGGGCATTTAGAAGTTGTTGATGATGTTGATATGAATATTACTTCTTGTAATTACTTTATGAAACTAAATTTATTTATACACAAATTATTAGTTAAAGGTAGAGAAACATTACTAGGTGTCACTTCTGTATATTAATTTAATTGCAATAAAAACAACATAAATTAAACAATATTAATTAGGTATATCTTTATGTGAGCATATATCTAAACAAATAATTAACAGTCAGTCAGTCAGTATTAATTAGATTTATACTCCTTTATATAAGAAGTCATTTAAAAAGAAATGTAATAACTGTTATTTGATTATTTTTAACCGACTTCAAAAACCATGTTTGTGCGCACCTGTGGCTCCTCTGGTGTTGTGGGTGTTGCGGGTCAACGGGCGGCGCTGATCGCTTACCAACAGGTGATTCGTCAGCTCGTTTGCCACCTAATCCATAAAAAAAAATTAGCTCGTGATTTTTTCAACTGATTTTGATGTGGTTTTCAGAAAAGTGTATGTTACACTTAAAAGGTTTTAATATATTAAATTAATCGCCTTCCAATAAAGAAGAAAGGGTTGGAGACGATTTCTTTAAACGTAGTTTTTAAAAGAATTATTTAGTTTCGTAAGGTCTTTCCGTTTACAGTTTGTTTCTCTACTACTATTTTTTTTAAGTTATCTGCACTGTCTTAGGTAAATAGGTTGGGTTAAGGTTCTGTAAAATACTTATTGTACGACAAAATTGTAACTTTAAACAAAATACTCGCACTCGCTTCCACGAATCTCTTGTTTCTAATTTAAATTAAATGAAGCATAATTAAAAACTAATTAAAGTTCACCTCCCAATGGAAATGTATATTATTAAATATCATTTAGGTATTAAGTACTAACAGTATTGTATACTTTGACATAAAATGCATCTTTTGTTAAACATGTATCTGTCTGCTTAAATGCTAACTAATTATTTTTTTTAAATAAATTAATGAACAACATTTTATTATCTACTAACCGAAAGCAGCACTGAATATGATTCAGAAAGTATCGGTCCGTTAAATAATTCACGTTTTGTCTCAAGAAGGACATTCAACACACCTTGGCTGAACGCGGCAAGCGTGTACTGCCCTGCGAAGATATAAAAAAAAAGCAATAATATTTTCCCGCGTTCGAGATGTCATCCATATTTAATTAATTTTCAAACATTTACAAATATGATAGTGTGATTTTAAGTATTTAAATAATTTTTAATTGTAAATAAGTTCGTTATTAGTTAGTGTAAATAATTTAAAAATGGTGTACGTAGTAGCAGATATGAAAAATGTCCCAGTGCCTGTGAGTAGGATAAGATCTGTATCAGCACAAGTGAGTACCTATTTATTTATTTTGTATCCAATACCTAATTTTCTTTACTATAATAAATCCAACAACTTTATTGGTGACCCATAAGAAATTAATGCGTTTTCGCAATACTTCATCACCTGATATTTCGGCAACCAATGCCAATCCAATCCAAAGCATTTTGTTTGGCGATATGAAGCAAATATTGAAAGTTACTTGCCTCGACCCTCTAACATTTTTCAATATTGACAAATATTCTATTACCCTTTGACTACTTGTAGCTTGTTGTTCAGAGCTATAAAGTGTTGACATATGACTGGCTGTGGGTTCCCAAATTGTTGGTCCAAGCTTTAAATTCTAAAAATTCTGGGAATGTT